TGCAGGCATTACTCAAATTCTTTCAGAGTTAACATGACAATTTCTATTCATACTTCTTCAGAATGCCAAAGGCTCTGTCTGTGTCAACATTCACGAGATTTTACTGTAGAATATTCAAGAAAATTAAAGGCAAAGTATGTCACAATGCATTATAGCACTGATCAATTCTTGACATTTATGCTGGCATTATTAAAATTATGTTACAGTTAACATGAAAATTTCAATTAATTATTGTTCAGGACACCCAAGACTCTGTCCGTGTCAACTTTCACTGGGTTTTACTGTAGAATTTGGGAGAAAATTAAAGGCAAAGTCTGTCACAATGTACTGATCAATTCCTGGTTTTTCTACAGGCATTATTAAAATTCCTTAAGAGTTAACATGAAAATTTCAATTCATTCTTCTTCAGGACACCCAAGAAGGTTTTACTGTAGAATTTGGTAGAAAATTAAAGGCAAAGTCTGACAAAATGCATTATAACATTGACCATTTCTTGATATTTATTAAAATTCTTTCACAGTTAACATTAAATTTTCAATACATTGTTCTTCAGGATGACCATTACTCTGTCTGTGTCAACTTTCACTGGGATTTACTATGAAGACTCTAAATGTATATTTTAACTAAAGGTTTACCATTTCTAGGCATGTTCCCAGAACTATACCTTAAGACATTGCTTACAGGTATACCTACTTGCGTGCGACGTTACTAGGAGCTGTCCATGAGGGTGCTGCTGAATTGATTGATATCGATGGATCGAGAATGGATTGTTCACTCTACGAAGGGGCTGCTTCAGTGTGTTATGTGAGAAAGCGGTGTTCTTTATAAAAGAAGTGTTGATTTTAAATAAAGACACAAAACTCTTTCCTGTTAGAATGCAACAAACTTGCTTGAAACTTTTACTTTCACTTTGCATCATACATCATGTCAGGGAACAAAACCAAGAAAGATATATGCCCAGAGCACCTCCCAGTGGTCACCACATACACTTTCAGAAAAAAAGGTACAAAAGTTGTCACTGGGGCGGTACCTTTTCAAAAGGCACACCTTTGTACCAGAAGAGTCCATATTGGTACCTTAAACGTACATATTAGTACCTAAAGTGTACATATTAGTACTTAAAAGGTACAAAAGTGTACCTTTTGAAAAGATACCGCCCCAGTGACAACTTTTGTACCTTTTTTTCTGAGAGTCTACAACACAAAGAAAAAACCTACATGAGTCACTGCTTAATTTTTTTTAACAGCTTTTAACAAAAGAAAGAAAGAACACTACTATGGCAGAGAAAAACAGAGAAAGAGGAGAGATGCCAGCAGCTGAATTTCGGGGCTGAGGGGATAGAGCTGTAGCTCTGTCAAGCTTGTCGGACCAACAAGATCTAAAAGCTGCTGAATTTGCTGCTGTGGCAGGTGAATTTTTTAATTCTTACATGGTAGTTAGGAGACTAAAGTTTTAGTGCACATAATGGCTCAACCATTCGCTGTATCGCTGCCATAGTTTGACCAAACTCCCCCTTCAGCCCCAAAATTCAGCTGCTGGCAGCTTCCCTCTTTCTCTCTTTTTTCTCTGCCATATAACTGTTGATGAAGGCATACTTCCAGTTAGTGATATGCATGATTAGTTTGTGCATGAGGTTGCAGGTGTCAAAATTTCTAAATTATATAAAATATCCATGGTTGAATTTAGTTTGCAATTTGGATTATTTTTATAAGATCCCATGATTCCTGATAAATGTCATTTCAACTATTTCTGAAGTGCTTCTTGTTGAAAAGCAATCTTACCAGAATGTTTTTCTGTTGGAGTTGTGTAGGCCTGTTTTTTTTTTTTGTTAAAAGCTGTTAAATTATTAAGCAGTGACTCATGTAGGTTTTTTCTTTGTGTTGTATGTGGTGACCACTGGGAGGTGCTCTGGGCATATATTTTTCTTTCCTGATTTTGTTCCCTGACATGATGCATGTTGCATCATGCGAAAGTAAAATTTTCACGCAAGTGTGTTGCATTCTAACAGGAAGGAGTTCTGTGTCTGAAAAGAGCATTGCTTTTTCACATAATACACTGAAGCAGCTCCTGTGTAGAGTAAATAATCCATTTGCAATCCATCAATATTAAACAATTCAGCAGCACCCTCATGGACAGCACCTGGTAATGTCGCACGTAAGTAGGTATACCTGTAAGCAACCTCCTAAGGTATAGTTTGGGGAACACGCCTAGAGATGGTATACCTTTAGTTAAGATATACCTTTAGAGTCTTTACACTAATCCAAAATTCTACAAACAAAATAAACAGAAACAGGTAAGTTCATTTTTATGTGTGTTATTGTGCCTTATGATGATCTGACACACAAATATTACTTAAGACTCTGGTGGGTTGTGAGCACAGAAATGGGCCTGATAAATCACACTTCTGCTGTTGTTTATGCTTTTTTTCTCTGAATCTGAACTATGCAATCACATTTGTTGGTAAATTTATATTTAATTAAATTCCTTTTATTAAGAAAATGTTTTAATTTAGTTTTTGTATCTTGTGTTATGTTATGTTTTAACAGCTACCAGAGGAGAATCACACGGAGTATGCGCCTATCTGCATAAAATGATGAAACTTTAACATTTAAGTATCTTTCTTTTGGCATTTGGATTTATTATGTGATCTATATGATCTTTAGAAGTTCCGGACAACGTTTAAGTTTTGGGATCACTGAGTCCACAGAGACACATGGAATATCTGAACTTTACACAAATTTTGACACAAAAATCGAATAATTTATATGCATGATACAGTATAAAAGCTAAACTTCACAACACAGCATCAGCTCAGTTTGAGGGTCAAACTGAAACCTGCTGAGGTCTTGATCCCTTAAATACATACAGACATATGATTAGACAAACAGCACATGCATACGAGTGCCTATAATTTAACATTTGCTGTTGATGTGCATTTGTGAGTGCATGTTAAAGGTGTGAATAGCATTTGGTTGATAAGCTTTTTCCACTCCTGCTAATGTGAAACTCACCCTTAGTGACTCCATCCATAATCATGTTTGACATAATACATTCTCTTAAACAGTATATTTCTGTGAAACCTTACTGTGTGAATGTGAAATGTGCAAATATCATGTATTTTTTTGTAAGTGAAACATTAAGATGAATATTTAAGTAGTGTACCTCTGTTCCTCCAGTTGCTGAATGCTTTCACTTGGCAGGATAATTTAAAAGTTCCCCTCATGATAGGCATGTCTTTCCATAAACAAATGGAACTGAAAAAGCTTGTTTGTTTTTCCTAAGAAAAGGTGCTTGGTTATTTTGCTTAATGCATCACAGAGGCCAGTGGTGGCTGGTGGAAAATTTTCTAGGTAGGGTGTCACATCCAACAATTTTAGCATATATCCAACTTAGAATTTAGATTTATCCAACTATAACAAAAGGAAAAGTATTAAGACTTGAAACATTTTAAATGCAGATAGTAGTTTTACCACATTCAAGAATGAGGATGATTTCTATGATTGACTATATTTTCTGCAAGCTTTTTTCAAGCTAAATTATTCTTTTTTTTATTTTATTTCATAATTCACAATTTATGTATACAGTGCAACAGCAAAAATTGTGAGGAACAAATAAATGTTTAATAGAGCAAGTGAGGCAAAGTGAACGCACACCTGTAAAGATGAAAGTTGAAGGAAAAAAAAATACCTAATTGAAAAAGAACAACTGCACACTCACTTAAGCATAGGCTATTTTTTAATCAACGTTTCGGCTAGTAGCCTTCGTCAAGGTATAGTTTCACAAAATGGAGAGTAGTATAAGTAAAGGACATAATTGTACACCGCTGAGAGTGGTGAGATCCAAATCATCCAATAATTAACTAATTTACAACTAGACTCTAACATGGAAGGTATAACATCAACAAAGTGTTGATGCTGATTGGACTATATATCCAGAGGCAGAACAAACTGTCTAGAACAGGGCTGCCCAAACTCGGTCCTGGAGGGCCGGTGTCCTGCAGAGTTTAGCTCCAACATGCCTCAACATACCTGCCTTTAAGTTTCTAGTATGCCTAGTGAGAGCTTGATTAGCTGGTTCAGGTGTGTTTAATTGGGGTTGGAGCTAAACTCTTCAGGACACCGGCCCTCCAGGACCGAGTTTGGACACCCCTGGTCTAGAACAGTGACAGTGGTGGTTGAATGTGATCGAAAAAAAATCCCTCCCTTTCACATTTTGGTGGTGCGTCGCCTGATTGCCCTAATGAAAAACCCGCCCCTGACAGAGGCACATTAGCATGACTACATCTGGAACCATTCCAATCCAATGACCTGACACGCCCAGATGAACATATCCAGCGGCCAGACTCTACTCTCAACCACACTTTTACTCCCCAGAGTTTGGCATTTTCCAGAATGTGATAGACAGGTGGCGTTTGAAGCAATTCATCTGTGTGCAAGCGATAGGGGGTGCTCAAAATGTTCGGGTTGAGTATGTGCAAAAAATTAATGGGTGTGTTGCCCGTTACAGATGAGAAAGCTCAAGTCCCAGTTCAAGGATTTATTAAAAAAAAAAAAAAAAAAAAAAAAAAATATATATATAGTTGGTATTTGAGGTCTACAATTAAACAGAAATAAAGAGCAATTAAGTATGTTAATATGGAAAATTGTACATTTTACAATTTAACTTTGATTTACAAAAAGATATATCCAGCAGCCATGTTCTGCCAAATTAACAAGGACATGCTTGTTACTAACATCTGTTAGTTTAACAAATACTGACATCCACCATAAAGTTCATCACGCTTAGCTTTTCCACACGCTGAGATACAGAAGGTGCACAGTGCTATACATACAAACACAAAACACCATGGTAACACACATGACGCTATAATGCAGTAAACATTAATTTAACAACGTAAGATGCAACATAAAACATGTACATAACTGATAAGAAAAAAAATATTACAATGAAAAACCATAAAATAGTGAAGTGTCACACAGGGGATTTTGGGAATGTCACTTTATGGCTTTTCACGGTAAATTATAAGATGATTTGAATGTGATGCTGTGCAATTACAGGACAGCTGTTTGATTATTTGTCGAGGGATAGAAGAAACTCTTTACACAGTCAAGTTTTCTGCGGCACTCTCCTATAAGAAAACATTCACAGAAGTTAGAGAAATGAACACGACTGATGATTCAGTTACAAACACAAAGACTTATCAATCTCATGAATCTGATAAACTCAATCAAATTGTCATATTCTGTAATACAGTAATGCATCATGTTTAAATGTAGAGTCCGATGATTTATGTAAGCAATAAGGTACGAGGCCTTGCTGTATTGTGAATAAGTCACGGCTGAAGGGCGTTGTTAGGCACGACGCGAAGCGGTTCCCACAAAAAAAATTAAATACAATTATATATATATATATATATATATGTCAACCACTGTTGCCAGCTTAAAAAACAAGCCCAAAACAAGCCCAATCTTTTTTTTGATTATTTATTATCATCAGTATTATTTATCATCAATTATTTATTACCAATAAATTAACCTGCAACATATTAAACTGAAACCACTCTTTTATCTGAAAAGCAAAAACAGATATGTTATTTTACAAAAAAAACTCATCTCCAATCACCTGTGAGCAGAATAGGATTGGAGAGATGGAAAAGGAGAAAAACACAAGAGCTTCAAAGGGGAACTGTAACATAGCCACATATGTATAGCCTACTAAAATATATGCTATTCGAACCAAATGTATCTATATAGTTTTAGTATTAGTATAGGACTACTTGTTTTTTATTACAGCCCATGATAATTAATACATTACAAAAACATTGTAAAAATTAAAAATTAGGCTAAAAGAAAGTCATCCCACTCCTCTATGTCTACTTCTATCATCGCTTGGATTACAGCGTCACGCGCCTTCTTTTTGAACGTGATTTTCTCCAATGAGGGGGAAGAGGGGGTGTAACATTTGACCAATTCAGGAAGAATTTGGATGTTTCTAATTTTGCGGTTAAAAATCCAGTCATCTCTAAATAACTTGCACATTTAAAAGGACAGTACTGTCTTGAATTGACTATTATAATAGTGTTTTTGTAATGATGACCTAATTAAACCACATCACATATACACACACAGAAGACACATGACCAGAAATTCTTACCAGATACACCTGCAACCACCAGCAGAACACCAACACATACTCCTGCTATAGCAAGAAAAAACACAATCCCATCTGTAAAAAAAAAAACAGTAATTACTAAAGTCCGACAGTTATTTTTTCATATATATTTGATATTTACACCTTTCCACCTTCATCAGTTATATGATATTGAGTGAATAGATAAATGGCTCCATAATGGCCTACAAACGTCATTACTAACTGCATTGTTTGTTAACATCTTTCGATCTCTGTACAATGTCTATTTTTTTGTGACAAATGTGTGTCACTTGACGTGCATGTCGCTGTGATAGAGATCAGTGACGTCACAAGTTTCAGACAGGCCACAATGAAAACAAAACACTGCTATTCTATTCCTGAAGATAAAATAGAATGAATGACTGAATTACACTCACTAGAGCCAGTTCCACGAAGGCTCTTTTCGCTGATAATTCTGATGCTATACTGGCGGCGGATGCTGCTGCTGTTGGTGATGATCTCAAGATGATAAACTCCAGAGTCTGTGGTTTTGGTGTTCATGATGGTCAGAGATCCAGTCTGATGATCCAGCTTTAGTCTGTCTCTGAATCTCCCGTCAGCATCTTCACACTCATCGCCTGTACAGATCTTACTGGGATCTCTAGCGATTTCAGCTATATGAGTGTCATCACAATACCACATCATCAAATAATTTGGGTTTTTTATTACACCAGAATCTAAAGTGACAGAATCTCCCTCCTTCACTGACTTGGTCTTCATTTTATCCGTCTCGGCACCAGGAACATCTGAAACACAAACATCTGCTTTTTTTTGCTGTTAAAGAAAACAGATAGAATGTTAAAGGGTTAGTTCACCCCAACATGAAAATTATGTCATTAATTAGTTACCTGCATGTCATTCCAAACCCGCAAGACCTCCGTTCATCTTCAGAACAGAAATTAAGATATTTTGATCCAGCTCTCTGACCCTCCTCCATAGACAGCAACGCAACTGAAATGTTCCCAGATCCAGAAACATAGTAAATACATCGATAAAACAGTTAATGTGACATCAGTGGCTCAACTTCAGCTTTGCTAAGCTACGAGAATACTTTGAGCGCAAATAAAAGAAAAAAAAAATACTCTATTCAACAATTCTTCTCCCCCGAGTTACTGTCTTTCGCCTTCAGCTTCGCAAAGCTGAAGTTGAGCCACTGATGTCACATGGACCGTTTTACCAATGTCCTTACTACGTTTCTGGACCTGGGAACATTACAGTTGCGTTGCTGTCTGTGGAGGGTCTGAGAGCTCTCAGATTTAATCAAAAATATATTTTAATTTTTGTTCCGAAGATGAATGAAGGTCTTACAGGTTTGGAACGACATGAGCGTGAGTAAATAATGACAGAATTTTTGGGTGATTTTTTTGGGTGAACTATCCCTTTAAACTACTGATGTTAAAAAAAAAAAAAAAAAAAAGCAACTTTGTATAAAAAAATAACAATGTAATATTAATTTAGGGTAATAGAGAATTTTACCTCTGCTGAATTACAACCCGAATTCCGGAAATGTTGGGACGTTTTTAAAAATTTGAATAAAATGAAAACTAGTATTGAATAATAAAAGGAAAGCCAATATTTTATTCACAATAGAACATAGATAACATAACGTTTAAACTGAGAAATTTTACAATTGTATGTACAAAATGAGCTCATTTCAAATTTGATGCCTGCTACAGGTCTCAAAATAGTTGGGATGGGGGCATGTTCACCAAGGTGTAGCATCTCCTCTTCTTTTCAAAACAGTTTGAAGACGTCTGGGCATCGAGGTTATGAGTTTCTGGAGTTTTGGTGTTGGAATTTGGTCCCATTCTTGCCTGATATAGGTTTCCAGCTGCTGAAGAGTTTGTGTTCGTCTTTGACGTATTTTTTGTTTAATGATGCGCCAAATGTTCTCTAGAGGTGAAAGATCTGGACTGCAGGCACACCTTTCAGCATTCATAGTGCCTTCCAAAACATGCAAGCTGCCCCTACCGTATGCACTTATGCACACCCATACCATCAGAGATGCTGGCTTTTGACCTGAACGCTGATAACATGCTGGAAGGTCTCCCTCCTCTGTAACCCGGACGACACGACATCTGTGATTTCCAACAAGAATGTCAAATTTGGACTCGTCTGACCATAGAACACTTTTCCACTTTGACAGTCCATTTTAAATGAGCCTTGGCCCACAGGACACGACGGCGCTTCTGGACCATGTTCACATATGGCTTCCTTTTTGCATGATAGAGCTTTAGTTGGCATCTGCAGATGGCACGGTGGATTGTGTTTACTGACAGTGGTTTCTGGAAGTATTCCTGGGCCCATTTAGTAATGTCAATAACAGAATCATGCCGATGAGTGATGCAGTGTCGTCTGAGGCCCGAAGACCACGAGCATCCAACAAAGGTCTTCGTCCTTGTCCCTTACGTACAGAGATTTCTCCAGTTTGTTGCAATTTGACGTTGTGGAGCGTTGTTTTTAAAGTATTCCACAATCGTTTTACGCACTCTTTCACAGATTGGAGAGCCTCTGTCCATCTTTACTTCTGAGAGACTCTGCCTCGCTAAGACATGAATCTTTTCAAAATGTCTTGCTTTTTCAGCCCTTTGTTGCCCCTGTGCCAACTTTTTTGAGACCTGTAGCAGGCATCAAATTTGAAATTAGCTAATTTAGTGGATAAACGTGTAACATTTCTCCGTTTAAACATTTATGTTCTCTATGTTCTATTGTGAATACAATATTGGCTTGTGTGATTTGAAAGTCTTTTAGTTTTTATTTTATTTAAATTAAAAAAATGTCCCAGCATTGCCGGTGTCCTGACATTTTATCCTACACGTCAGATTTTCCTACCAGCGTTTACTGCGCATGCGCACATCAATATTGCGTCCTTTTTCTCACGCGGAATAACAACATTTAATGTATCTGCATTACTGTAAGGTTAGGTTTAGGGTTGGGGGTAAGTGTAGGCATTACAGTTTTTCTCGATTGCTTAAACACATTTCTTGAAACTATGCCTTTGTCCGCCACAAGAGCAAAGCGACACCGCAAACATCAGATTTCTAGTGACGTTCGGGCAAAACAGAGGGCTAACCACCACCTGCTGCTCTCCTGCCATCATCACTAGGATGACAGGTGACACAGCCTCGACACCTGCTGCATAAGTTCGAGGACCCGCACCTTGCTACAGCATACATCACCACAGCCCACCACCTGATAGCATCCACCACTCCTGGAGGCACCAACAGCCAGAGAGCCACCACTGTCTCCCAGCCGTGAGTGGCAGGTGTGTGTTCGATTGGAACACAAAAGACACAACCAATGTATACATTGGCACATTTTTATTCATTCATGTACTTCACAGCACAACTGTAAAAAAAACAAAACAAAATTATTCCGCCTCAGCATCCCGTCTTTGTTCTGGGTCAGGCCAGAGAATCTCGGCCACATCACAGGCTATATTGGCCCTAGCCTGATCCACCCCTGGCATGCATCTACTGATATGTCTAGGCAGGCTTCTTCCATGGCCTGGAGGAGGTGAGGACGGATATAAGGTTCTCGGTCATACACTTTCCACCGCCATGCTGAAAAAAAAATCCTCTATCGGGTTTAGAAAGGGAGAGTATACAGGCAGAAAAATGTTAGAAAACCTCGGGTTATTGGTAAACCAGTCACGAACCAGTGCAGCACGATGGAAGCTGACATTATCCCAAACAACAATGTAATGAGGCTGCTCTGGCTGTGCTTGTTCCCTGAGGTCCAGCTGGAACATATGCTCTCTTAGACCGTCAAGGAAAGCAAGGAGGAGCATAGTGTTATAGGGTCCTAGAATGGCATGACGGTA